GGGCGGCCGGTGCACGTCAGGTGCAGCCTGGGTATGGGTCGTGTGCATCCTCCAGGCCCTCTGGCCCCACGCGTGAGCCGCTGAGCCGTGGAGCCGGCGCAGCCTTGAAGCTGAGCCGGGCGGCCCGGAAGAGTCCCATGAGTCCCATGTCGCTGGCTGCGCTGAAGGCCCGGTCGGGTGCGGGGTCGTTGGCGGGTTCCGCTGTGGCCACCCGTACATTGGCCTCGGAAGGTGTCGCCAGAGACACTTTTACAAGCCTGTGATCGCAGCACTATGGGAGGCTGAGGCAGGAGGGCAGCACATTGAAGCCCCACCTGGGCAGTTTAGCAATTTAGCAAGACCCTATCTCAAAATAAAACATAAAAGCAAAGGTGGGGATGTAGCTCAGTGGGAAGCCCTAGCTCAATCCCTGGTAAGGAGAAAAAAAATATCCTCAACAAACTCGAGGCCTTGTGTACCGCAGTAGGACCAGGAAACACTCGGTTGTATGAAATAGAATAAATGTCCCTTGAGCAGAGAGGCAGCAGAAGCGGCAAGTTTGATTGGTGGGGATGGCCTGAATGAAGTAGAAACAGAGCGGGTCTGTTTCAAAGCCACTGTCCTTTTAAGGTGGGGACAGGGCAGAAGCGACCCAGGAGTCCACACCCACCCAAGGGAGCAGAGGGTTCCCTATCCTGACCGTAGGACGTGCCAGCTGGGCAGCATGGCTGCTGCCCCCGTGACTGTAATTTCTGGGAAGGTCGGTGAACAGCTGAGTCTCCAGAGTGCTGACTGTTACAACCCGGTAAGTGAACCGTGAGCCCAGCCACGGCTAGGAAGGCTGAGGCAGGACGATCACCAGTTTGAGCCCAGCCTGGGCTATAGAGTGAGACCCCATCTCAAAAACAAAACCACCAAGTGACAGCCTCCTGCAATTTAAAAAAGTTTTTTTCTTTTATTCCCCTGTCACTGGGCTGAGTTTGAGGAGGTCCGGAAAGGAACCTGGCCTGCCCGTCTGCAGGGTAAGTTTGCAGGTCCCGGGCAGAGATTTAGGGGTGCGGGCGCACAGTGTTTCCGGGAAGAGGGGACCTCTGTGCTCCTTTTGGAGGGTGGGGACCCTGCAGAAGGCGGCCACCCCCAGGAGGGGCCCTTGCTCACCAACAGGAAGGGCGCAGTTGTGGTCTTTGGTTTGTTGTTTTGTTTGAACACACTTGGGCCAGGGATTTAGCTCAGTGGCGCTGCGCCTGCCTCGAAAGCCCCAGGTCCTGAGTTCGATCCCCAGCACCAAAAAACCAAAACCAATCAAACAAACAAAACAAAACTAAACATGCTTTGGATTCTCTCAGCCTGCTCCTTCATCTTTGGAGTAGGCCCCTGCTCTTTACTTCCTCAATTAAGCCATGTGTGGGCTTTCACCATCCGGAGGGATTTGGGGTGCAGGGGGCTGTGTATGTGCGCACACACCCACTGCAGTTGAGCCTCTTACACACAAACCTGCACACGTGGCCTTGGCCAGCGCTAGCGCACCGAATGTGTGACCTCTGACCCTTGGCCCCGACAGGCGGCCCCGCAGGCTCCGTCCCTGTCCCTTCTGCCTCCCAGAATCTGGCCTCAGCAGGGCTGTGGGAGACCAATCAGGGAGTCAGGATGGGGTAGAGGGAGGTGGAGGGGGCAGAGGAGGGAAGGAGCCAAGACCCAGCGCCCTCCTGGAGCCTCCGCAGCTGAAAACAGGAATTTCTTGCTGTGCCTGGAATTCACTGGCATCAGTCACCAGGAAGACACGGGGATCCGGAACCCGGGTCTCCCCTTCTTGATCCAGTCTTCAAAGTCCAGGACACCCCCCACCCCATTCTTCACCCACACCGAAGGGGCAGGCACCCCTAAAGCCAGCCTGTCCTGTCAGCAAAATGCTTTGTGCTTGCTGAGTGCAGTTGGTGCAGGAAGGGGCACCTCCATCTGGTGCTTCAGGGCCCTGAAACGGGGACTGAGTTTTGAGTTTGAATTTCTTGAGCTGCTGGGGTAGGACCAGAGCCTTCTGCACTCCAGGCAAGCGCTCTGCTGCAGAGCCTTGCCCAGCCCTGATACTTTCTTGGGATAAAATATACACAGCATGTGTCAGACACACCCAGCTCAAGATGACCCATCAGTCATCATGCGGTGTCACCACTGTCCACCTCTTACCTTGCAGAATGCAACCTCTGTCCCCACCAACCCCAGCTCCCTGTGACCTCCCCAGCCCAGCACCTTCCGGGTGACTGTGGGGAGTCACACGGGAGGAATCCTGCAGGACTGGCCCCGTGCCTGGCCTGGTACTCCTAAAACCCCCTGTGTGAGTCCCCAGCTGACAAGCTCAGTGTGGGAGAAATGCTCCCCACTGGGCACCCTGGGGCAAGCTCCTGGCCAGCACCATCCCTCGACCCTGGAGCCTCAGGGGCACCGTCATAGCAGCAAGATGGGTGTGGACAGCGGGTTTCATGGCACTGGAAGGGAGCCGTGTCCACACCGCAGCCTCCCCAGTGACGCCTGGGGGCCGCACGGCCCGCTGTGAATTCCACGGAGGACAGACTCTCTCCGAAGCTGCCCCTGCTGGCCGGCAGTGTCGGACCAATGGGCAACAGTGCGACCACAGAGGCTGTGGGATCTGAGGCTGCATGGGGCCAGCTGGAGGGGCAGAGTCCCCACACACCGGGGTCTTGCTAGTGCACGACCAGGCTGCTCCGCCCTCAGTGGCCTGGCTCCTGCCCACAGATAGATGGCGTGCAGCTGGGGTGTAGCTGAGTGGTAGAGCTCTTCCCGAGTACATGCCAGGCCCTGGCTTCCACCTCTGGAACCAAAGGAAGGGGATGAGGAGGAGGAGAGAAGGAAGAGGAGGAAGAAAAGGAGGAGGGGAAAGGGGGAGCTGGGGTGAGGCTGGAGGGGAGGAAAGGAGGAAAGTGGCATGGAAACGAGTCTGCTGGCTGAGGGCCCCTGGCCAGCACCCGGGCCTCCGAGACAGGGTGATCTGGGACGTTTGGGCAGGACAGGGCAGTAGAGCAGGCCACAGAGGGCCCTTAGAGCCTTCAGCCACATCGTGGCAGGGGTGCAGAACCCCTGGGCCAACCCTTGGCTGAGACTCCCCACCTCCAGAGCTCATCTGAGGTGGCCATAGGGGCCACCCTGCCCAGCCCCAGGGGCCAGGCTCGGGGCCAGGACCCCAGGCCGCATGGCCATGCTGTGGGCCCCCACACATCAGGTGTTGGCCTGTGCCCGGCAGGGTTTGACCTGCTTTGATCCCTAGCAGCCCTTGCTGAATGTGGGCTGTGTTGGGCTCACCTGCACTTGCTCGGGCCAGGACCTGGGCCACAGGACTTTAATTAAGGGCCCACAGGAATGTTTTCATCGCTTTTAAAATCAGAAGCCTCTAATCCCTGCACTTGGGAGGCTAAGGCAGGAGGAATGCAAATTTGAGGCCAGCCTGCTGGGTTACATTAGCAACACCCTGTCTCAAAATAATAAAATAAATAAAGGGCTGGGGTGTGGCACGCACAGGCCCTGGCTTCGCCCCAATACCAAACCTAAGTACACACAGAAACCAGAAGAAACTAGGCGGGTGTGGTGGCACACACCTGTAATCCCAGCACTTGGGAGGCTGAGGCAGGAGGATCATCACAAATTGAAGGCCAACCTGGGCTACAGAGTGAGTTCAGGGCCAGCCTGAACTACAGAGTGAGATCGTGTCTCAGAAACAAAGCCAAACAAACAAAAAACCAGAAATGAATGACCTTTTAGGACTGAATTGTGTATCTTTTTTTTTTTTTTTTTTTGGTACTGGGGATCAAACTCGGGTCATTGCACTTGCACAGCAGGCAGCGAAACCACTGAGCTAAATCCCCAGCCCTGTCTCTATCTTTACAGCAAGACAGGAGTAGAGTGGACTTCTCAGCATTTTTAGGGGAAGAGACCCCCTACCCTGCTCCTGCAGCCCTGTGTGTGGGTCCTGTGATGCTGGCCACAAGGACCTGAGGAAGTGGGGAACCTGGCTGGGGCTGCTCGTCCCCAGAGCCTGCCTGCAAGGTCCCCAGGGTCCCCCGGCACGGCCGCGTCCAAGGTCCCCTCGTGGACCAAAATTCCAGGCCCAGAGCAGGCGGGACAGTCGAGATGCAGGGCCGACCCTGATGTTCCAGGCCTGTCCACCAGGTGGCGGTGCGACCGGCGCCTCGCCCGCAGCGACGGGGCGGCCTTGGGGACGGGAAAGTCAGGGCTGGGAGATTTGAACTTCATAGGGCTGCATCACTGGTCTAAAAGCACGCAGGTTGCCAGGGCTGCCCGGGACCCCTTTAAGCCCGGATGCGAGGCCACGCCTGTCTGACTCAGCACCACCCCACCCGGTGGGACAGCTGGGGCCCCCAGCAGTGATTCGGGGAGAGCTCCGGTCACCAGGCCACATCTGCCCAGCGGTGACTCAGCTGCAGCTCCCAGTGGGGCGGAGCAGGCAGCGCCCCTGCACCTTGCCTCTTGAGGTAGGGACTGGCCATTGATCCGCTCAGGACTCCTGGGTTAAAGCCTGCGTGGAGAAGACCGAAAGCAGGGAGCGGATCCACTCACTGTGGAAGGAGTCACTTCCCTCACACTCCAAGTCCTTACACCTCTCCAGACCTGTGCAGTGCACAACCTGCACAGCTGAGCCACGAAGTCCTGTGCAGCTCCTGTCGCCCTCTGCCCAGGGCCACAGCCACCCAGGTGGTGTGCTCCCTTGGAGACTCCCGGTTACAGTGGTTCCAGGCAGGGGCTGAGTCATTCTTTCTCCCTCCCAGCACCACGTGGGACAACCTGCCCTTGCGTGAGGGAGTAGCAGGCCAGAGGGAGCACTCCGGCAGCTCCTGGCTGGAGCAGTGTCGTTGTGGAACAGAGGCGGAGGCAGGTGGGGGATAGCTGGGGACGCTGTGGCCAGCGCCCCAGGTCCGTGGCCTCGGTACCTCTCCCGGTGGCCTTGCGTCCACCTGTAGCACTGGGCCCCGTGGCTCCGATATTCCCAGAGCTGGGGCAGCTCCAGGAATGGGGGCTGTGAGTTCGAGGGCCAGGCAGGAAGCCGCCTCCCCCTGGACAGGGGACCCCAGGACTCCTCCCCATGGTCCAGGACGCAAGGACCACTCTGGTCCCTCCTAGCCTCCCTGGAAGGCCAGTGTGGGCACCCAGGGCCTCCCAGGAGTGTGGCGCCCGGTCTGAGGGAGGTGGCCAGTGTCTGCCAGGGCCACAGCGACACTTCCCAGCAAGATGGCAGCTGTCCTTCCAGGCTGTCTTTCTCACTGAGGTGACAGTGGCCTGGGCAGTGGCCAGCGCAGCTGACAGCACTGGGGATACCAGCTGGGCTAGGGCTCAGGGGGCCCGAGGACTGGAACACGCTTGGCTGGACCCTGGCATCCCTGTCACCACTGCAGCAGCTCCAAGGTGAGGGCCGCACAAGCCACGCCCTGGGCAATCAGCGCAGTATCTCCCTATCACTGGGCCTGTGCACGATTGCAAACTGAGGCCCGGAGAGGCACATGGCCCCAGGTCACCCAGGGGCACATGCAGCGCTGGGCTGCTGGGCTCCCACCCTGGCTCTGCCCCCCTGTACCACGCCACTGGCATGGGCCAGGCCTGAGCGGCCCTGCAACCTCTTTCCTACCCCCCATGGGGTCACTGCAGCAGGAGTGACTGTGGACATGGCTTTCCTTTTGGGAAAGAGCCCCCCACTGCACCCCTGCCAGGCAGCCCCCACCCTGTCCTTCCCAGTCCGGGGGTGTCACTCTGGCCGGGCCTCAGCCTCCTGACACGGGACTCTGATGCCACCACCCTCGGGGCTATGCCGGACCCAGCCAGCTCCTCCTAGCTCCTTGGGGAGTCTGCTCCACCCCCACTGAGGCCCAGGAATCTGGCCCTGGGCCGCACCTCATCTATTTTTAAGCACCAGCCCATGAAAGATTCAAGGCCGCTTTATTTACAGGTGCCAGGATGGCGTCAGGGCTGTGGCTCAGGCCCTGGCCCTGGCTTCTGTCTATCTCCGGGATTTGAAAGCAGGGGCAGGATCCCTCCCCCACACCCCCAGACTTTGGGGAGCTTGGGGCCTCATTTCCTCACCACCAGGCCTAGTGAGGCCGCGTCCCCACTTTAGACAGGAGCCAGGTCAACCTGACTCCCAAGCCGGTGCCCACCCACCTCCCAGGCACAGGGCAGCTTCACCATGCCTTCTGAGCACCACAGAGCTGCCCCGAGAAGGCTGCAGGGATCCCAGGGCCCTCCCAGCGCCCCCATGCCCAGCTTCCCCTCCCCGAACAGCCCAGGCTCCCATGAGCCTCCTAGGTGGCGCCACCTCAGCCCCATGTTGTCACCCGGTGTCATGTGCTGCCTGGTGGGGCCCCAGCAAATACCCAGGAGGGCTCTCCTCTGTCCTCAGGCTGAGGGGTGAGGACACACCCCAGGGAGGGGGAGGGGGCTGCCTGGCAAGGTCTGGGTCGCTCCCCAGTCCGTGGACACCCCAGGACACATAGGAACAGCCACCGCCCAGCCCGTCTTAGAGAAAGTCTCTTCCTGGGGTCACGGCCATGCCCAGGACTCTGCGGGCTCCGGGCTTCACTTAAACAGAAAGTACTGTCAGCCTCCTATGGGAGCGCAGTGTTCCTCCCGGCCTGAGTCCCCAGCCCTCGCCCTCCTCCTCCCCCAAGGAGCTGGCAGAAAGCTCCATTCTTTCAACACTTCCTGAGCAGAACCGGGGTGGGGAGGAGACCAGGGCTGGGCAGACCCCTGGGTCCCTGTGCCCCGGCCCTGGAACTGCCCACCTCTCCCAGGAGCAGGGGCAGCAGAGAAAGCTCCTCACTCCTTCCTAGGGCTCCCTTCTGAGAGCCTCAGTTTCCCATCTGTGAAATGGGGGTGCATTTGCACTTGGGGGGGGGTGAGTTATTTTTTTGTAGCATTGGGGATTGAACCCAGGGCCTTTCCATCCTCAGCCCTATTCTATTTCTTATTTTGAGACAATGCCCCAGCACACTGGAGGCTGAGGCAGGAGGACCAAAGTTTTGTGCCCAGCCTGGGTAACTTAATGACTTATCAAGTCTCTGTCTCAAAACTTTAAAAGGGCTGGGGATGTAGTGAAGGCCCTGGGTTTAATCTCCAGTACGGAAGGAGGAAAGAGAAAGAAAGAAAGGAGACAAGCTAGCTAGCCATGACAGAAAGCCTCTGGGTGGGGCTGCCGCCGGTGTAGACTGGAACTCACGGGGCGGAAGGCTGTCCAGAACCCTGGCCCTTCCGGTGTCTCCAGGGCTGCAAGGCACACACTTGCACCTGGCACTCTCTTCTGGGGCCACTGTCATCTCCCGGGTAGCTGAGAACCACTCCAAAGAGGGAACAGCAGCACCAACCTGGCTCGCAGGCCTCAGGAGGATGCCCAGCGGGCCGGGCCGAGTAGCCTGGAGCTGAGCACCCCTTCCCTGCCGGGCTGCGTGGGCGCGCTGCCCCTCGGGGCTGTCCGCCTGCAGAGCTGCTTCCAGCTTGTCACCAAGAATGCACCTGAGGACAGAGGTCACCATCAGCCCAGCATCACCTGGTGCCACGCCAGTGACAAGTCCAGAGCAGCCAGGAGCAGGGCCTGTGCTGCTGGAGCTGCTCTCCCAGCACGTCACCACGGGCTCCCTGCCGGGTGACAAATGTCTTTGCCCAAGTGGGCACCAGCAGCACGGTGGGCCTGCCAGGCTGGCCAGTCTGCTGGGCTGAGGTGGTGAACGATCGCCCGACATCGCTGCTGGCCCTGTACCAAGAGCACCAGGTGCCCGGTGGCCCCAGGACCCCCCAGTCCCACCCACCCTATACCCTTCCCAGGCGTGGGTACCGAAGGCTGGTTCCAGGGCGCGCGGAGTCCCCTCCCGGGAGGACGCTGGGGCCGGGCGCCCGCAAGGTGACCACCAGGTGCAGTGGCCAGGGAGCGGCTCAGGGCCCCTTTGTGCCGCAACCGGACGGTGAGGTCCTCGGGCCGCTCGCGGGCGCTTGGGGCTTGTGGGGGGGGTCCGGGTGGAGCCCCGCCGCGGGGGCGTGGTCAGTGGGCGTGGCCGGCCGCCCCCCGCCCCGCCCTCCGAGCATAAGCGTGGGTGTGGGCGGCCGTCGGGCGCGGCCATGGAGCTGTGGCCCTGCGTGAGCGCGGCGCTGCTGCTGCTCCTGCTGGCCCTGCAGCTGTCCCGCGCCGCACGCTTCTACGCCAAGCTCGGCCTCTACTGCACGCTGTGCCTGAGCTTCTCGGCCGTGGCCTCGGGGGTCTGCGCGCTGCGCCACGGCGGCCGCACCGTAGAGAACATGAGGTGAGCGCTTCCGCTTCCTGCGCGGCGCCGGCGGGCGTCACAAGGTCCCCGCCCGCCCGCTGGGCACCGCGACGGCCGGGCAGGGACACCGAGGCTTCTCACCCCTCACCCCGCAGGTGACGGTGTGCGCGAGAGCTCCGGGGCGGCTGGCGCAGGTGCCTGGACCTCCCCTCTTCCCGGCGGGAGGCGCTCCCTGCTGGGGCGGGAGGAGCTCAGCGCCAGGTCCCCGGCCCGCCCCGCCCCTCGCCACCCGGGACAGCCTCCGCTCCGCTCCGCCCAGCTTGGACGCCTCCCTGGTGGCTCTCCCAAGAGGGGGCACTGGCGTCCTCGAGGCCTCTTCTGTGTCAGAGGGCAGTAGGCGAGGGTGGCCTGACCATCCCTCCCCCTGCCGGCCTCGGATACACATTTCACGAATCCCAAGCCCCCTCTTAGGCGCTTGTGGGTTCCCATGGCACAAGGAAGGGTAGTGACATTGAAGGCCCAGGCCAGAGACTCGGGGAGCTGAACCCAGGGTCAGCCAGGCGGGACCCTTCCGGGGGGCGGTTCAGGGGTCTCCAAGGCCTGGGCTGGCACTAAAGTGGGACCCTGCAAGCGGGACAGGAAGGGGCTGGAGGAGCCGGAGGACGGTGCAGGCCCGACACAGGGCCAGTGATGGAGGCCCGGCAAGTGTGCTCCAGGGAGGAACGGGATGAGCAGGCCAGGCGAGAGCCAGCAGGGGTGTTGGGTGCAGACAGGGACTGGACTTGGGTCCCAGGCCTACCCAGGCCACCAGCCTGAAAGGCCTTTCAGAGGGGCCCTCGGCCCTCCTGTGCCCCCCTCCCCCCTCCTGCACCTCCAGCATCCCAGTGCCAGCAGGTGTGGGGTCTGCTGGACAGATGGAGGGCTGCGGGGTGCCATGAGCCTGCCCACTGCAGCCTTCCTATGATGACTCCCAGCAGTGTCGGGGAGTGTCAGGGACTGGGATCCAGGGTCGGCTGGCCTGCTGGACACAGCCTCCAGGTGTGGCTGCAGGAAGGACTCAGCAGGCAGAGGATGAGGGGCCCAGCATCATCGGCCGGCTGGGCCAAGGAGGGGCCCAGGAGAAGGGGGTGCTTGTGGATGGACCCCATTTCAGGCCCCTGTGGGCCAGGCTGGGCCACACGCACTCCTGTTGTGCCGCAGTGCCTTGCAGCCGTAACGTGGGAGTGTTGCGTGCTCCATCTCACAGATGGGGAGAATGAGGATCAGAGACACAGTGTGAACGTGAGGCTTGGGGCAAGAGGAGTGGAGGGAAGTGTCCAGGGTCCCTGAGCAGGACACGGCCAGACACGGCCCAGAGGGGAGCTTCTGAGAGTGATTTGGAGGAAATGTTCTTCATTTTCCCTCCACCCAGCCTGGAACTGGGGGCTGTGGGCACGGCCCCACTCTGTCCCCTTGTCCACCTTACCCCCTACAGGCTCTGAGCAGGTGCCCAGGGAGGCCTCTGCACCCAGGCTGGAGCTTGTGCAGGGACAGGGTGGGAACAGAAGGGCCGAGCAGACTCTGGGTCCCTGGGTGCAGGTTGGGTGGGGTGACAGGAGGCAGAGGCCCAAATTTCACCCATTTGATGGGGAAAGGAAAGCCCAGAGAAGCTTCATGCATTAGAACTGGGCCAAGCACAGGGCCAGGAGCCATGACTGGTGTGGCCAGCTGTTTGCTTTGGGCACCAGAGGAGAGCAGAGCTGGACTCTGCCCAGGGGCTCCTCCATTCTCAGTCCCACGATGGGGTGGGGGAACAGGCAGTCCAGGGGGCAGGGGACTTGCCAGTATCCATCAGTCTGACCTGGAAGGAGGTCTGTGCCTGACAGGTGCATTTGGGACTGCTCACCTTGCTGTGGGTATCTGTCTGGGGCTCTGGTCCCAAGGGAAAGTGTATGAGCCAGCTTTCTGTGGTGGGGACATAGCACCCAGCAGTCACACCCTACAGGGGAGAGGTGTCTTGGCCTCACGGTTTGAGGGACTCAGTCCATGGTCACTGCTCCAAGGCAGGTCTCTCATGGTGGAACAAGGAGGCAGAGGAAAGCTAGGTTGCTTTATTCATGGAGATGAGAGGCATAGCAGGTGATGCGTGCCAGCAGCCACAGACCCTCCAGGTCACACGCCAGTGACCTCCTCCAGCTGGGTCCTGTGTCCCCGCACATTCAGCCATGAGTGTCACTGGTCCATGGATGAGGACAGTGCCCCAGGACCAGTCCCCTCTCAGGATCTCTACCCAGTCAAGTTGACGATATCACTTGGCTTGCCAGGGTGCTTGGGGGGGGGGCAGAGTCCTCTGGGGGGTTTCTGAGAGTCCTTCCCCAGCCCGCATTCCCTGGCCACCCCTCCGGCCCTGCTGCATACCCCTGGGTCCTCTTACGATGCCTTGTGCACAGGGTGGGAGCCCTGTCCCATCCCCAGGCTCTTTCCCTGCCTGTGCCCCCTCCTGTGACACTTGTCACGAATACCCTTGCTCTGCCAGGTGGCCCACTGCAGTCTCCCATCCTGAGCCCTCAGCTGTGGATGGCTCCCCAGCAGGGCTGCCCCGAATGTGCCCACCCAGCTCTGCTCTGGGAAAAGGCCCTCCTGGCAAGATTCCACCTAGTGCCCCCAGAGACTCCCAGCCCAAGACCAGGGGCCAAGGGCAAGGGTCAGCCCACGGCCTTCCCCAGGGACAGCCAGGCCAATGGCCTGGGCCTGGCCTTGAACTGCCTCCTAGCTGCCTGGAGCGGGCACTCCCGGTGGGGGCTGGGCAGGTCCGGGGCCTTTTGCCCTGAGGTACCATGGGTCCTTCCCTGCTGGGCCACTGAGGCCGTATTGACAGGGTCACCTGGTGTCCAGGCCACGACATGCCTCAGCCTCATGGAGCATAGCTCCTCCCCTCCCCCAGGTGGTGACAGATGCTTGGGGAAGGTAGATTGCCCCAGGTCACAGGTGTGAAGAAGGGGACCAGGACCAAAGGGGACTGGGTTCCCACAGACAGTCGCAGTAGTCCAGTGCAGTCAACTGTCCCTGTCTGCTTGGACCCCAGGCCACCTCAGCTCTGGCCCTGGGGAGGCGGGGAGCCAGGGCACAGGCACAGTGACACCTGCCCCAGAATTGGGGCCCTGGCTTGCCTAGGGGACAGGACAGAGCAGTGCTGTCCTCTTGCCACTCAGGGGAGGGGTGTCTGGACACAGGAGTGGGTCCCTGGCCACACAGCTCCCTGCTGGGAGCCCTGCTGCGGGGTTTGCAGGGAGGCTAAGGATGGCTGGGGGCCCTGCAGTGCCGCACTGGCAGTGGCCTAGGGCTCCTGAGTTTGTCACCCTGCAGGAGCCCTGTGCCTGTGTAGGGGGACTGAGGGGCCCGTGGGGTCTGGCCAGGAGGAGGTGGCCCACTCATCCTGCAGTTGTGCGACTGCCTGATGGCTCCTCTGCCTGCAGAGCTCAGCCACGACCTCCCCGCAGGGAAAAGTTTCCTCCTGCTGGTGATGGGGCAGTTTTATGTTGTGTCTCCTTCCACACTAAAACACAAAGTGGGGCTGGGGCGTGCAGCTCGGTGCAGGGCGCTTGCCTAGTGTGCGTGGGCCTTGGGTTTCAGCCCCAGAACTTTAGGGAAAGGAGAAGAAAATGGGACCAGAACGTGCCACTAGCTGAGGGCCCCAAGGGCCATTCCCAGAGGTGCTGTAACCTGCCCCACCCGCCACGAAGCAGCCGTGGAAATTTGGACGAATTTGAAGTTGTGATTACCGGTTGGAGATTCCTTATCCGAAATGACTGGAACCAGAAGTGTTTTGGATTTCAGACGCTTTTGGATTTTTGGATTCTTGCATGTACATGATGAGATAGTTTGGGACTGGGACCCAAGTCTAAGCACAGCATTCATTTAGATTTCATAAATACCTCATACACACAGCCTGAGGGAATGTTTTTCTTTTGTACTGGGGATTGAACTCGGGACCTTTTGCTTGTGAGGCAGGCTGTGGAACCACTGAGCTACATCCCTGGCCCATCTGAGGGAATTTTATGTAATATTTTTTGTGCACCCGTGTTCACCACAACCCCTTACACGAGGCTAGCATTTACTACTGGGTCCATTACATCCACCATTTTGAGGATTGTTGTTTTTCCTGACTGGACCAGACCCAGCGCGTCACATGCTAGACAGGCACACCGCCCTCTACACCCAGCTCAGGTCTGGACAGCTCAGCTGCAGACCGCTCACCCGGCATGCAGGAGGCACGGGGTTCCCTCCCCAGCGCCAGACGAAGCAGTACGTACCATGAGTGAGTATCCCTTGCAGCGGAAAAGCAGAGCTTGAGCTCGGTGGAGGTTTCCTTCACCCGGCTGCCCAGAGGCACCGGCCCCCTGCCTCAGGTGGGTTCATGGAAGCTCCGGGGCCGAGGACAGGGTTTCTTAGGACAGAAGCCAGCTGCCCTCCAGACGCGTCTCTCTCTGCTCCCCGCCATTCCCCGCCAGCCAGTGCCTTTTCCCAGAGCAGGTGACACCTGTTAGCGCCCTTTCTCTCCCCGCCCGCCCGTAGAGGGTAGTGGCTGTTCTGGTTTCAGGGTGCATTTCTTTGGTGGCAAGTGAGTCTCGGTAGTTTTCCTCGTCTCCTGGACATTTCTGGTTTTCTTTTCTGTGAACTGCCTGCCCTGTCTCTTTCTGTCCTCACGGGGATGGATGCCAAGAACTGTTTCACAGTCACAGAACGGGGAGCAGGGTGTGAAGCAGCCAGCCAGTCCTCCAAGTATCCAGGAGCTGCCCCAGCCCTGGGGTTTGACCTGGAGAGGAGGTAGCTGGAGCTGGGGAGGCTCCCCGGACTGAGGTTCCCCACAGTGATGACTGCCCTTCCCACTGGGTTCTGGGACAGCTACAGCAGGTTAGAGCCTGGATTCCTTCTTGTGTGGTCCCCAGGGCATCTTGTGAGGCCGTTACATCCACAGAGACAGATGGGTGCCAGGGCTGGGAGTCTGTTAATGGGGACAGGGTAACCACAGGAGGAAGGGCCTGGAGAGGGAGGGTGGTGACAGCCACCGACCTGAATGTGGTCACCCCATGGGCTGACCCTCCTGGCCCAGGTGTGTATGGAGCTCCAGGGCACAGCAGAGCACCAGTGTTTCTGGAGGCCAGGCAGGCATGGGAGACTCGAGGGCCCTGGGGCCTGGCCGCTCTCTCTGGGTGTCCCCTGTTGCTCCCCCAAGTAGGAACCAGACCACTCTGTCCCCAGCTGGGGTGGCAGGCGCAGGGCAACCATGTGGGAGGGTGAGCAGCCCCAGGCCCACCTGCGGCTTCTGTCCACACAGCATCATCCGCTGGTTCGTCCAGACCTTCAAGTATGCATTCGGCCTGCGCTTCCAGGTCAAGGGCGGACAGAAGCTGGAGGTGGATGGGCCCTGCGTCATCATCTCCAACCACCAGAGCATCCTGGACATGATGGGTACCTTCGGCGAGCGGGGACCGGGAACGGGACCTTGGGGTCTACTGGGGCGGGAGCTGCTTCTACAGCCAGGGGAGGGCGAAGCCAGAGGGCTCCCGGGCAGCGGGGTGAGCGGGGGCATGCTTCCACGGAGGGTCCTCCACGGGCTCTGATGCTGTGCTGTCCCTCCTTTCTGTGTCTGTCTCCCCTGTCTGTCCCCCCCGCTGTCCCCACCCCTGCCCACCAGGCCTCATGGAGATCCTCCCCGAACGCTGCGTCCAGGTCGCCAAGCGGGAGCTGCTATTCCTGGGCCCCGTGGGCCTCATCATGTACCTGGGTGGCGTCTACTTCATCAACCGCCAGCGCTCCAGCACCGCAGTGTCCTTGATGGCGGAGCTGGGCGAGGACATGATCAGGGAGAATGTGAGTGTGGGAGGCGTGGGTCAGGGGCCTGCAGGAGGTGGTCCCGGCCCAACCCTGACCTGCCTCCACAGCTCAAAGTGTGGATCTACCCCGAGGGCACGCGCAACGACAACAGGGACCTGCTGCCCTTTAAGAAGGGCGCCTTCTACCTGGCCGTCCAGGCCCAGGTAGGGAGGGCACCCTGGGGTGGGCAGGCTGGGGAGGTGTGGGGCCAAAGGTGATGTGCCGCCAGGCGGGTGCTGAGGGATCTGCCTCCGCTGGGTGGGGTCGGGGCCTCCCTGCCCCTTGAGCTCCTGGGACTCTGGCCTGCTGGCGGCAGCACTCAGCCCTGCACCCAGGAGGAGGTGTGTGGGGGTCAGGCCCAAGCTGCTACCTGAGCTGACTCCAGCACCTCCTGCTGGCTGGATGGGGAGGCAGATGGTACAGGGGAGGCACCCAGCTGCCTGCTGAGCCCTGGGTGGCTGCCTGTGTCCAGGGAGCACCCGTCCAGTGCCAGGCCTGGTGGGCTAGGCTGGGACAGGTGGAGCCAGCATGGGGGCCTCCGGTGTGGTACAGGTGTGGGCAGTGTGCTGAGTGCCGCCTCTGACCCAGGACTTCTCGGGTCCAAAGCCTCGGGTTGGGGTGGGCAGTGTGCCCTGGGGTGCCCGGGAGAGCCGGGGCGTATCCACCATGGTGGGTCTTGTGTTGCGGCTGGCGAAGCCTGCATTTGGGTCAGGGAAGGCTTCGTCCCGCCGGCTGGCGGCAGCGTGGCAGCCTCAGGTCTCCATGGCTCTATCCTCCCTGGTGCCAACCCTGGGGACACAGAGCCCAGCCCTGCCGCACCCTTCCCCTGCGCAGGTCCCGGAGGGGACAGGGTGTGATGGTGACAGCGGCAGCTGGGGTGTCACCACTTCCTGCCACCCCTCTCCCGGCCGGCTGGGCTCCAGTCCCCTGCTGGTGCCGGCAGTTAATGATTACCCCAGGTGCCACTTGTCACCGCAGGACTTGGCCCTCGTGCCTTCCAGGAACACCACAGCCGAGCCCTCCCCTGGCCCCTGGGGACGCTGGGTGGGCAGGGAGGCAGCCCCTCCTCCGGCTAAGCAGACAGGCTCAGACTCAGCTAGTTATGGCCCAGGGTTGGAGACGCACACATGCTAGCCCAGGAGGGCTTCCCGGAGGGGGTTACATGGAACACTGGGCCACCCAGGCTGAGGGTCAGCCCCGAGGACCCCTGGCCCGTCCCAGGCAGTGACGAGGTGGTCCCTGCCCGCAGGTGCCCATCATCCCCGTGGTGTACTCCTCCTTCTCCGCCTTCTATGACCTCCAGACAAAGCTCTTCACCTCAGGTGAGCCTGGCAGGGACCATGAGGGCGATCGGGCCCCTGAAGCACCGTGTCTGTGTGGGCACTGAACCACTGGGTGTGAGGACCAGAGCTGCTGTGTCTTGCCGCTCTGCTGGCCTTGGGGTGGCGGCAGTGGCCTTTCCCAGGTGAGGACACTGGGGCTATGGGGGGCACACAGGTGACCCAAGCCTGACTCCCATGAGGACGCCCAGGACCCCAGCACCACTGGCCACAAGCACATGGCCTGTGCCCCACCCAGCCAGGGTGCCCCAGCCCCACACAAGGTCCCCTGTGCCCAGGTAGGAAGGAGGTCAAAGGTCAGAGGCAGGAGGAGGAGCCAGGCTCTGACCCCACCAAGGCCACAGGGAGGAGAGTTGGGCTCCAGCAGGCGTCCGTCGCCTCTGTGACCGATAAGGCCAGCGGGGATGGGGTGGCTGGGTGGCTGCGCCAGTGCAGCAGCTCCGGGGCCTCCCGGCCTACTGACAACCCTGCCCTTCCCTAGGAACAGTCCAGGTGCAGGTTCTGGATGCCGTGCCCACCCGTGGCCTCAGCGTGGCTGATGTCCCCAAGCTCGTGGACACCTGCCACCAGGCCATGAGGGCTGCCTTTCTGCAGATGTCCACCGGGCCCCAGGAAAATGGCCCCAGGGCCCAGCCAGCCCAGTAATCTGGCCATGGTGGGGTGGGGACGAGGGAGAGGCAGAGACTGCGAGTGGACAGCGGGGACCCAGGCTGCTGAACACCGCCACATCAGCTCCCGGCTCATTCTGGCCTTGGCAGCTGGAGGCCCCGGATCAAGGCCCCCAAGTCCCCTCTGGAGTCTGCTGGACCCCGGCCGGCTCTGGGCAGGGACCCCCACCCTCTCGCCCATCCCTCCAGGATCCAGACGGGGCCGAGTCGCCAGGCCCTGGGGTGCCCCAGGAGTGGCTGCAGTGGCCACCACAGGCTCTTGGGGCCTCTGGGTCTGAGCCACAGCCTGTATCAGGCCTTCAGGGAGATGGGGGCTCAGGGCCAGGCCTCCTGGTGCCACATCACCAGCCTCAAGGACTGTCTGTGGCACCCGCACTGCACATGGCTCACTTTTATAAATGAACTCTGGTAAGTGCCTGGTGTGTGTGGTCATTCGAGAGGGTCGGCCAGGGCTGCCTGGGCCTCCATCCAGGGACGTGGGGCGAGGGAGGTGATGGAGCCCCGCCCAGGCTGCTATGCAGGGCCAGCGCAGAGGCCTGGTCCATCCACTGACACCAAGGCTCAAGTCTCGAGTTTATTCTGATGGGGACAGGCCCGCCCCACCTCGGGCAGCTGCGCACCACGCTCCATATCCCAGCTTGGGCAGGGAGCCCTCGTACCTTCCCCGAGGCCCAGGAGAGCCTGGCAGGGGCCCACCCTGAGGGATGAGGACCAGAGCGAGGCACTCCCTGGCCTTCGGCTCACAGCCCTCACCAGGAGCAGCATGGGCCCTGCCTGGAGTGGGTGAGGGCTGTGGTCTCGCTAGGTCCAGCCCTGGGTGTGAGATGGCCATCAGAGCTGCTTGCAGGAGCCTGGGGTGGAGGAGAAGGCTGGGTCACCTGGCCTGCGGCCGTTCCCCGTCCCACCCTCTGGCCTGGAGGAGCCGGGGGTTCTGAGAGAGGGGAGGTGACATGGGCACTCACAGGACCCCAGCTGCTCCTCCAGGAAGGAGATCTGCTCACTCAGTGAGTCGATGCGGTCCAGCTGCTGCAAGGAGTGGGCCAGAAGGCTGCCGGGGGCCTGCGGCCCTTGCTCCGGGGCCTGCGAGGCCAGGCCATGCAGGGGGTCCAGCACCAGCTGCAGCTTCTGCGGGATGCGGATGCTGCGCTGACCCAGGCTCCCAGCTCCCTCTATCCAAGAACCAGCTGGCTGTGGCGTCTGCTCGACACCAGGGGGCACTGTGGCCCCACAAGTGCCCAAGCCAGGTAGGGGGACATCAACATCAGGTGCCGAGGGCCTGGCTGCACAATGCCCAGGCCTCGGGGGCCCAGGGCTGAAGCTCCGTGGGAAGGCAGTGTGCCAGGTGGGGTGGCTTGGCCTGCACCCCCACTCCCTGTGTGCCCTGGAGAGCCTTAACCAGCCCCCGCCGGGCCAGCTTCGTTCCCAGCCCTGCCAGCTGCCCGCAGCCTCTGCTGGTCTCACCTGCTCCAGCACCTCGACTCGGGCCTGCAGCCTCTGCACCTCCGCCCTCGCCGCAGGGTCCACTCCTGGGGCAGAGCCAGCACGATGTCAGGCAGCCCCTCCACCCGCCTCATCCCACCACTGTCCAGCTACGGGCACAGCCGACACAGCTCTGTGACCGGGCCATCTGGCTGCCATCAGGAACATGGCCCTGCCCTGCCCGCTCCTCAGCACCGGGTCCGGGTGGTGCCGCGCCGATGGGTCCTCACTGAGGTCTGACGCATCTTGGTGCTGGGCTGCCGACGGCGCATTATTACTCACGGTACGAGTTTGAAGTGTCACAGCGCGTACCAAAAGTAATAATGTCCCGTCACCAGCAGAGGGACGGCGTCTCCCGGATGCCAGGCCAGCAGGGAGGCAGCCCCAGGTGGGCAGCGCCTTCTACTTGCTTGGCTGAGAGGCCCCAGCCGCCCAGGGCTCACTGCCTTCCGTGCCCCGGTGACAGCGCAGGGGAATGCCCCACTTGCCCACCGCCCGGGGCAGCAGCATCAGGGATGGAGGCAAGCGTACCTGTCACGGGGTTCAGGGCCACCCTGGGGGGCCCTGCTGTGGGCAGGCAGTGCGTCCCGTCTGCAGATGCACTATGCCCCTCCCGGCACTGGCACTGGTAACTGCCCGCAGTGTTGACGCAGCCCTGGGGACAGCCGACCCCTCCGGAGCTGCACTCATCCACGTCTGCGGGAAGGGGGTGTCAGGTGCAGACCCAACCTGGCTCAAGATGCACTGGGAATCCAGGAGGGGACCCAGGGCCCAGGAGAGCAGGCCCAGCCTCACCTGTGTGGCAGGTGTTGCCCTGCCATCCGGCTGGGCAGTGGCAGCGGCCAGGCCGGACACAGCTCCCTCCATTCCCGCAGGGCGGCTGGCATATTGCTGGGGAGGAGGGAGGTCATCACCACTCTCTGGCAGCAAGGGTGGGGGCTCCGGCAGAGTGGGGGCCCAGCTCCCTAGTGCCTGGCCATGGGATGTGCCAGGGCCTGCCTCTCACCTGCTGCACAGGCCCCGGGGAGTCCACCAGTCCTCTTCCAGCCGGGACAGCAGGCGTAGCGAGGCCTGGTGGGACCTGGCCCAGGACCACGGCGGTAGGCAGTCCGGTAGATGGTTCTGCAGGGGCAGGGGCGGCTCAGAGGGGCCTGGGACACGGGGTGGCTGGGCAGGGGGGCCCCAGACACCACACTGAGGCCCCTGTGTGCCAGCCTGCCAGCTTCAGGGTACCTGGGGAGGTCCTGGGTGTCCCCAGAGTCCCTTCTGCCAGGGACACAGCAGGGGCTACTACACAGCCTTTCTCCCTGGGGTGCTCTGGTCTGAGTGAGACCTGGGGCAGGGAGGAAGCCTGGCCACACCTGGCAGAGCGGAGACAGCACTGTGCCATGGCCCACTGGACTCCTCAAGTTCCCGGGACGGGGCATGGGGGCAGGCTGGCCCTGTCTGCAGTGGGTCCCCTGCAGAACTGGCTCCGCCCTTCCTTCCCTGAGCTCTGGGTACCTGGTGCTGAAGTTGGTCCTAAGCCAGTACCTCTCTAGCTTTGGGGGTTCTGAGCCTCTCAAATCTGGAGTCCAGGCCTCTCCCTTGAGGGCAGAGCCATGACCTGAACTTTGCTACATAGTTCAACCTGGCCCTGAACTCACTATGCAGCCCAGGCTGGCCTGGAACTCAGGGCAACCCTCCTGCCTCAGCCTCCCAAGTACAGGGATCACAGGCGTGCACCACCACGCCCAGTCTGAATCTGAACTTTTTTTTTGGCACCAAGAATCAAACTCAGGGCCTCGAACTTGCCAGGCAGGTGCTGTGCCGCTTGAGCTACATTCCTGGCCCTTGAATCTGAACTTTTATTTACTTATTTGCAGTGCTGAGGACTGAATCCAGGCCCTCACACGGGCTCGACAAACGTTCTACCACTGGGCCACGTCCCCAGTCTTAACTTTTTAAAATTTAGAGATAGGGTCTCAACTGCTCAGGGCAGCCTTGAGCTTGCAATCTCCTGCCTTAGCCTCGAAAGTAGTCGGGGTTACCGGCTCGCACACTGAGCGTGGCTTTCACTCCACCCCTCCTGCGCCTTCCCGGGCCTTCCCAGATGTTTCTGGGCAGAGAGGAGGCTGAGCTCCCCTTGCTCAGGCATAAGGACCCTGGGGGTTACGGGGAGAGAGGTGCATGCTGGAGCCCCAGGACAGGACCGGATGACTGAGGTGGGTTTCAGGGGGAGTCCCTGGAGCCTACGCCGCCGCCCAAGGAGGGTAAGTGAGCACCCCGGAAGTGGAGGGGGCCAGGCAAGGTGGGCAGCCCTCTAGGTCCCATCCTCCCCCAGTTGACGCTGGGGTGACCTAACAGACCGGCCACCCTAAAGCCCCAAGGTCAGGGGCCCCAGGAGGCAGCTAGTGTACTGTGGGTTGGGGAGCTCTGGGGCAGCCCTGGGCTGGCACTGGTGCACTCACCGGTAGGTGCTGCAGGCCCGGTGCCCATCACAGGTGGTGAGGAAGGGCTGGTACACGCGCTGCACAAAGGACTCCGAGACGGAGCCCGGGGCAGCCCCAGCAGCACACACCCTGCGGCTGGGGGTGGGGCGGGGTCAGCAGGAGTGGAGCGGGCCCTCCAGCCTGGGATGTGGGGATACCAGGGGAGGGACCGCAGGAGTAGCCTGTAGGGAGCCCTTCCAGGACTGGGGCCGCCCTGGCTCACCTGGGCCGGTAGGCGTGCACACTGCCACCTGCCGCCAACACCAGAAGCCACAATGGCAGCAGCTCCTGGGAGGCCCACATGCCCTGCATCTCCAGGAGGGGTAGCCTTCGCCTTGGGTGGCCTGGAGCAGAGCACACACCCATCAGTCCCCTGCGGGTCCCCTCTGGCCAGATCCCCAGCTTCAAGCTGCCTGCTCAGCCACATGCCAAGGGCTATGCACAGGGAAGCAGCTGGCTCTGTCCACAGCAGCCTGAGGCCAAGGGGCTGGATTTCAGGGCTCCTGGGTGACAAGGGGTAGGGCCGTCTCTCCCACACTGCAGGCTGTGAACTGTCACTGGGCCCTTTTGAGTTTGGGCATCTCATCTGCCAAATGCCGAGCCAGCACCCAGGGGCACTGTGGGCCAGGCAGGAGCTCTGACAGGGTGCGCACCTTCTGGGACCACTGCAGGGGTGCCCCCAGATGGAGTCTGTGCGTGGCCGGCCTGGGGAGCCCCTGGGGGCCCCAGACCCCAACATGCCCCATCTCCAGCCCAGAATTAACACCCCATGACACTGATGAAGGGACTGCAAGCAGTGGGTACCAGGGAGCTGGGGGCTCCCCGAGGCAGGTGGGAAGGCCACCCTCTTGTTGAGACTCCATTTCCTCAGCTGCTGCTAGGGTCTCCGAGGCCCACAGGAAAGCCCGCCCCTGCTTCCCACAGCCCCTCAGGCGGGCCAGGCCTCTCAGTCCCCAGTGGAAAGGCAGCGTGGGTGTCCCCTGTGTCCTCTGGGGCTAAGCCCAGGCATCTGGGGCAGTGGGCGGGGGCTTGTGGGCAGGTGTGCTTCCTGGCGGAACTTGGGGCCAGCAGGGAGGAGGTGGGCCAGTGGGTCCCCGGGTGGGCAGGGGGTGCTGCCTAGGGAGCCCTGTGTGCCCAGATGTCACGGCCCGCCACCCTCGTCCCTAGCACCTCCCGAGAGTGCTGAGCGCAGTCTAGAAAGGGAACTGTGTTGAGGAGATTCGATTTTTGAAAGTCATGCTTTGCCCAAGGCCAGAGGAAGCCCCGCGGCTGTGGGCGCAGAACCTCACTCGGCTCTGGCGTCCACCAGCAGGATAAGCAATCGCGTCCCTTCCAGTGTCACTGGCCCTGCCTGCCACCTCCTCTCCCACCTGCCAGCCCCGCAGCCCGCCAGGGAGCTGGGCGCACAGGGAGGCCCGACTACCGCGGGCCCGATCCCCCGAGGGGCGTCTGGGCGTCGGTACCCGCAGGGCGCGGTGGCGGCGGGCGCAAGAGCAGACGACGCGGGGGCACTCTCGCCCCTGCCAACCCCGCTGGCTGCGGCCTGCGTGGGAGGGGGTGCAGCGCTCGCCCCCCAGGACGGCCAGGACGGCGGCGCCGCGGGGCGCGGGCCTAGGCTCAGAGTCGGGCGCGGGGGTCGCGGGCTGGGGTCGGGTGGGAGCCGCGGTGTCCAGCAGGGGGCGCCAGTGCTCGGGGCCGCCGGGCCCGTTCTGGGGCGGCCGGCCGGGCAAGGGGTCCCCGCGCTCACCTCTGGGTCCCCGCGGTCGCTCGGCGTCGAGCGGGTGACCACCCCAGCTCCGCGCCCCGCGGCCCCGGCCTCCCGGGCCACGCGCGAGCGCCCCGCGCCCCCCGCCCCCCACCCCGCGCTCCCGCTGCCTCCGCACTCACCGCGCGATCCGGCGCGCGTGCGCGCCTCCGCGCCGCCGCGCCTTGGGGCCCCGAGCCCGCCCCGCCCTGGCCACGCCCTGGCCACGCCCCCGCCCCGTGGGCTCCCGGTCCGCTCCGCCCCCATCGTGCGGATGGGGAAACTGAGGCCAGCGGAGGAGGCGGGCTCCACAACCGCAGAGCCAGGCAGCACACCGGCCTCGGGGCGGCCCTGGAGCCCCGGGGCACTGAGCAGGGTCCCAGAAGCCACCAGGGTGTGACCCCAAGCTGCCCTCCTCACCAAGGCCGGCTAGGTGGGGACACTGCTCCCGCGGGGCAGCCAGGGCCACCCTGAGTGTCCCTCCCTAAGGACAACCCCTGCCTCTGGTCACCTCCAGGACCCTGGGCTGGTGTCTCCCCTCCACGCCTGAGTTCACGCCTGGGCCAAGGCACCCGGCGCTCGTGCTGTCCCCCTCGTAGCGGTGCGGGCTCTCCCGGCCTGAGGTCTGGCCCCACGCCCCGCTGGCCCTCGGACGCACGGCCCGGGCGGACAGGCGTGCGCAGGCTCCCCTCAGCGCTGCTCCTGGTTGCTGGGGACTCACCTGGTGCGGAGCCCACTCATCCCCTGCACACCAGCGGCAGCTGCTCCTCTGGACTCGGGGGGCCGCCCATGCCTGGCGGGCGCTGCGGGCTGAGGGGCAGAGCAGGGGTGTGGATCAGTGCTTGGCGGCCGGGCCCAGACTCTGACGCAGCTGCAGGGCCAGTGCTGTCCCTGTCCCTCGTCTGTCCCAGGATGAGCTGACCTCTTGCGTTGCCTGGCAACCAAGTCCCCTGGCCTGGGGTGGACTCCAGCTCCCCTCTGGAAATGGGGTGTTGCCCTGGCCCGTCCCCAGCAGGAAGGCAGAGGAGAGGATGCCCAAGTAGGGCTGAGTCCTGCTCTCAGCCCAGGTGGGTGTATGGTCCACAGATGCGAGCGGAATGATGGGCTCCGAGCTCTGCTTTGGGGTCCCCTGACTGTGCGGGAGCCGAAGAGAGGGAGCGCCCGCCCAGAGACGCCTCCCTCTCTGTTTAGCACCACTGCCCGGACCAAGGGGCCCTGGAGGCCCCCAGCAGATGGGTCTGAGGGTGCCAGGAATCGCTGCTGTCGGGATGGGGGCTCCTAGGTTTCTGGAACCCCTAGAACTAGCAGGGCAGCTCTCAGCCAGTCCTGGGCAGGGGAGGACTGAGCGCGGCTGGGGGCTTTAAGCGAGAGAGTGCCCTGCCGGCCCCTGCCCTCTTTGTCCCTGAAGCTGTCCTCCCTTGGCCTCTGACCACAGCCCCCTCCACTGCCTGCCAAGCACCGATGGGGATGCCGCTCACACTGTCCCCTCTGCCCATTCCTGGCTGTGGCCTCACCTGCCCTGGGCCCTTCCGGCCTGGCCAGAGGAGAAAGGATGAGCCAGGGGCCTGGGAGGTCCCCTCTGACACTGGGGGACTTGGAACCTTTGGGACTGAGTTGAGGGTGACGAGAGGCCTCCCCAGGAGCCATCCCTCGGCCAGCCCAGCAGAGGTGGGGACTCCTCTGCACCCGTCTGGGCTGGAGATGGGGCTTGAGGTTCCTCCCTGGGGTGATCCTCCACCAGCCCCCTTCTGGTCCCCGGAGTCCTCGTCCACAGCAGGAGCACGAGGAGAAGACCCCAGCCCTGGGTGGCCCGGGTGGCAGCAGAGGAGGAGGTGAGGGTCCAGTTAGACCCCTGAGGCTGAGCTTTGCTGCCAGCCCTGAGGGCTCCTCTAGGAAGCAGAGGTGGCCAGGAGGGATGCAGCTGGGGTGAGGGGTGGGTCCAGGCTGGGCCACCACTTGAGATCCAGGCCAAGGGCTGGGGCCGCTCTGAGCAACAGGGTCAGCCTGAAGGAAGACAGCCCCACCCAGAGCGGGACCAGCTCGAGCCCCACCAGTAGGTGCCCGACCATTCCTCGGGAGTCCAGGGGACACTCGGGACCCCTGCGCCCGCTCCCCCACCCTGCAGGGCTGCCCTGCATACCTGATACCACATGGGCTTGGCCAAGGCCACCACTGCCACCTCCTGGGGCCAGGCACGGACCCTGCCCCTTGCGGGGGCGTCAGGCCTGCTGGCCGCCCTAGGGCATCTCCTGAGGCCGGCCTGCCTGTCCTGTCCCTTGCAGCCTCCATCTGGCCTTCGGGGCAGCGACCAGGGCACAGAGGCACCTCCCGGGTGAGGAAGGGTGGCTTTTTATGCTCCGTCCCGTGTAAATCGGGATTGGGATGGGCCCTTCCCGGCCGGACTTCCTGTGTGTGTTCTCTGCTGATAACGGGGATCTGTCAGCGAACAAACAGGAGGCCGAGGGGCGGTGGGGGCCACTGAGTGTGCGAGGGGCCGGCCAGCCTGTGGGGGAGGGGAGCTGTCCCCCGGGACGGCAGGGTCTGGGCCTGGAGCTGCCAGAGACAGGCTGGGGTCCCAGGGGACAGAAGACGCGTGTGTGACACACAAGGCCTTGGCGAGGGTGGCAGGTGGCAGGACCCAGTGGGAAAGGGCCGGGCTGGGAGGGCAGGACACCCTGAAAGAGCCGCCCGGGAGTGTGGGGTGTGAGCACCCCGACCCCGCAGACCTGCAGTTGCACTTTCCAGAGGATGCTCAGCCCTCACCCTGGGCTTCCGGTGACTTGGGGGCAGGGATACAGGTGCTTCAGGCGGCCCACAGGGAGCGGTGCACCTCAGGTTCCCTGTGGTCTGGCCACCATGTCTGGGGCTCAGATGCTGCAACGGGGTGCAGGAGGACATTGCCAAGGACATACCCTGACCGCAGTGGGCGGAGGGCACCGGGGTGGGCCCTCGCCGACCCTGGCTGCCCTTAGGGTACAAGCCCTGCTGGGATCAGCCCCTGCCTGCCCACGTGGGGTGCCCTCAGTTTTGCGGCCCTGAGCCTCCCCACCCCGATCTGCCTCGCTGGACAGCTTGGGCCAACGGGGCATCAAGAGTGGCTGGGCACATTCCCTGCCTGTCCCCTGGCCAGGGCCAGGGGCTGCTGCAAGTACCCGCTGGGGTCAGGGACAGGGGCTTCAGCCAGAAGGGCCCAGGCCTGGGCCAGCCCCTGCCACGCCTGAGGGGCTCGCCTCTCCCTGGGCTCAGTCTCCCCATCTGTTCCACGGGGCCAGGAGAGCTGCCCCCCATAGAGGCTGAGGTCTGAGCTGGGGCTTGGGCAGAGCTGGCGGGTGGAACCCCATCACCACTGCAGCCCCTCTGCCCCACCCAGCCTTCGGCTCCCTCCCCAGGCCCCGCCCACTAGGAGGGGCTCCTGCACTAGTAGCCCCCGCCGGGAGGATGTCCTCTGCCCCATCTCCCGGCCAGTCCAGTCCACCTCAGCCCCCACACTTGGGCTTCTTCCTCGGCCGGATAGGTCCAGGCAGTATTGGGGATGGCTACATCCTAGCCTTTTGTGTACAGAAAGGGAAACTGAGGCCCAGAGTGGGAAGCAGTGAGGGCCTGCAGAGCTGCTGCCCTTGCCTTCTCAGGGAACCCCAGCTCCTAGGGTGACGGGGTAGTGGGAGTGACCGGCCACGACTACGTGGGTGGGAGGTTGCCCTTCTCGCCCTCAAGCCGGGGGCTTCTTGTGTGTGGGAGGGCTGTGCCTTTTCTATGCACTGCTGTCCGTGCCCCTTGGCTCAAACCCAGGGTGCCAGGCCTGGCCTGGACAGCTGCCCAGGTCCCACCATGGGCACGGGAGGGGCAGGAGGGGCTGGGGCTGCATGAATGGGGCTGCTCTGTGCCCAGGCCCTGAGGGTCCCTCACCCTGGAGGTGTGCGCCCTGCAGGGTGCCGGTCCTCGGAGGGAGTCGGTGCCTCCTGCCCAAGCCTGCGCTCCCCACTGCGGCAGGGCACCCCATGCTCACCCTGCCCGCCCAGCAACCCTGAGTGGGGACCTGGTAGGCCTGGTCCTCGTGGAGTCCTGGGAGCCCTGAGCCAAACCCTCTGCCCAAGGCAGAGCCAGCTGTGGTCCGGAAGCTGCAGGTCTGCCTCACACGGGGCCTCAGTTTCCCCATACGCCCCACAGTTGGGCTAGATAATCACAGCCGCTTGCAGCCTACCTGCTCATGTTCCGAGGCGATGACCTTATCCTCCTCATGCACTAGCCAGGTCGGAGGGGTGGCGGGGACCCTCCCCGGACCGCTCACTGCTGAGCTTCTGGCCTCCAGGCCCTGGAGAGGGTGGACCAGGTGGGCGGTGGAGGCTGGGAGCCGCAGGCTGGGGCGGGAGAGCAGGTCTGCAGGAAGGAAAGATGCAGCAGAGCGGTGGAGAGAAGGGCCTTCCTGTTTATCCCCTGGCTGCGCCAGCCTCAGGGACAGGATGGCTCTGCAGCCACCACCCGGCCTGCTTCAGCCAGAAGTGGCCGACCTTCCCGCAGCGGATGGCCTGGCCCATGCCGGTCTCCTGGGAGGCTGGATGGGCGAGGCTGGTAGGGCACCCACCCTGGGCCAGGCCAGTGTCTGAGGGACTGAGGGGTTCGGATGGGGAGAAACAGCCTGCGGGGGTCTCTGGCTGCCCCTCCCTGCAGCCCTGTCCCTGACTCGGCCCCGCGGGTTTCAGAAGCCCTGGGCGCACAGTGCCCCACGTGGTGCCCGCTGATTGCCCGTAGGAGGACGAAGCCACCTGTCCAGGGCCAGCAATGGGGAGTGGAGGCCCTGGGCATGGAGATCAGGGGTCCTGAGCTCCAAGGACACTTGGGGACGGTGCGGCCCTGCACCTCGAGGCCCCCAGCCTCCCCTCCTCGCAGCCGTGCCCAC